TGCCATTAATAATAGCAAGAGTTTGAGTTGGCACTCAGTGGTCATGATACCGTATTGATATATAACTCATAAATTTTATTCCTTGCCCTTATCACCAGAACCTGACTGCAACTCCGCGTTGGAGCAAACAACCCATCATTTCATGCAGCTCAAATGACTCTGTGGCGTTAGGGTGAGACCCACATACAAGTTTTCATTCATTTATTACACTAAGGATACAATTCCCCTACACACATAAACTGAAGTGTTGTAAATATTCTAATACGCGTGTCATTTTACAACGTGATGTGTAAACTGTACTCTTTGCTTTTTTTAATATAGAAAATCTTTCTAGTATTCAATATTTTGTAAAAATATACAAACAAACATTACAGCGAAATTCGAGCGCGCGCTACGTGGCCAAATACTAACATTTCATGTTTTACATCTAGAAATAAAACGTAATATTATCATTTGATTCCAAATTGCTGACAGTTGCATTGTTCGAAACAATATATGAATTGTACATTAAATCTTAAAAATATAGAATTATAGAGCGTGGTTTCTGATCATTCGCGTAACGTACAGGTTAAACATGGGGCTAGTTTGTTTAGTCATATCCGTCAGAGTTTATTAATGTTTCCGACTGTTAAAAAACTACTTGATTATCAATTGATACAATATTTATCATGATGTAACCTTTAAAATGAATGGACCAATACGAAAAAGACAGTCTCTCAGATTGTTTGATTTTTGCAGCTTTCGTTTGTGTCATATGTAAATTAACATTTTTCTTAATTTATTTAAACATTACACAACTATACATCACATATATTGATACATGTATGCGACGTATTCACGTATGTGTGTACATCACAGAACCGTTTATGTCGCTTGTCGCTTACATATACTAGTAACCTGTATAACTCCCCCCCCCCACCACCACCACCACCACCACCACCCCGGTTGACAAATAGGGTTAATTTGTCAGCAGACGTGTCTGGAATGGTTTAATTTTTGTATTCATCGTCAAAATAGGTGTATTGCAGAAATTAATAATCCTTACAAATCATCAAAAACCGTTGTTGTTCCCCAAGCCTAAGGAACTTGGAATTCTGGTGGGTTGGATTATACCCTACATAACTCTTGTCAAAAGAATCATAAACTGTGATAAATTTGTTGGTAAATTTGTTGCGTAAAAAGACTATCCGTTTTCGAAATTTGCCAGCCTGGAAAAGGGTAGGGATTTTAAAAGGGCTGGCGACACACCCAACCAACTTCCATTTTGATATAGGGGAGTGCCCGGACTCCGGGGTATATCCACTTCAGTTGATAGCTTCGGTTTATGTATATACACAGTACGAACACAGTATGCACGTTCTAATGGCTGTGTCACTGTATAGGCGACAGTAGACCTACTCCGATGGTATCGCAGCGTCTGGCCAGGAAGCTATATGTATACGTCTTAAGCATACAACACCGTCGCTGGTTGTACCACTTGAACGGGGAGGTTAAACCCTGTCTTTAAAGAAGAGAGAGAGAAAAACATAGCGATATTTTGGCATATGATTTGTACTAAGAACAGTACGGCACGGCGCTGAGTAGATCGCGCATAATAAATCACTTCGGGGTGCTTGTCACTTTTCTCTGACCCCGACTAGTATGGGTCGACTGAGATGAATACATACTGTAAGAAAGGGACAGTTCGTAATATTAGTCTCTCCCTGTATTATCTATGGAGGAAATGTTTATTTAACAAGCACATTTACTAATGGTTTCCATGGTTACCGTTATTATTCATTGAATATGTAACTATAGTTCTTTACGTTTCGCAAGAGCAAGATACCAAGCGGTCATGGTCACTAAGTGTATTGAAACCGCTCGGGTGTGTCATTTTATTCAATACCGTATACTCGAATGGTCATTTTTAAGTTTTATCACGTGACTTCGAACTACATCTTGAATGTACTTAACATGTACCTGGCCACGCCGCGGACTTGTTCTTACTCAGCGGTCGGTAATGCTGAGTTTTCGATCGAAAGACATTTCACAAAACGCGCGTTTTTTCAACGTCACGTGACTTCTGTGATATTACGGGGATTATCGCGCCTGGAGACAGGGCGAGTACTATATTTGGACGGGATTATATGAAAGTTGCGGCAATGCAAAACTCTAAGGAATACAAGCATTTCAAGTCCATATTATGGTTATGTACGTTATACATACACTGAGTCACACATAAACTAGTCTTTATTCGACATTTCACATAGTTTATGTATAACGGCAGAATATATTTATTCATTTTGAATTTGTCGCGTACTTGACAGCATTCTTCTCGCAAAACGCGTTCCTCTTGACACCACAGCGCGCGTCGTTTACTTTGTATGTTGTGTATGTGTCCTCGTTATAGTCACGATCATCGTGTAGTTAGACATAAAAGGCAGTGGATTCAATAATAAGAGTATATCTAAACACAGAGAGAAGCCCATAACCACAGTGCCATCAATACATATCCCTGTGGGATCCTTCAAAGGACGGACGCTCTTTGTCCAAAGCCGCCGTAATCGTCTTGTTATTGCTGGCTATTCAGGTTGCTTCGAGCAGGCAACACAGAGATTTCATTCCACACTACGGTGTTTCTATTATAACTGCGCTGTTCGCTCAATACATGGCCTAATATAGCAATTAGTATAAGCTACATAAGCCCCGCTAAGTATTTTGAATACCGTGCGAAAAACATGGCCTTCATCTCGACCGAATTAAAGTGTACATAGTGGACAATGTACCAATGGGAGGTTTAAGATATAGAACATAGAATTCGCTCTATTGTTGAAACGTTGCTTGAAAGTATGACAAAATGTTGCTTTGAATGAGTAAACCCGTTTTAATCGTGTTTTGTGTATATCGTACGTATACTGGTTCGCTGTGTTCAACTATTCGATTTAAAACCAGCTCTGTAGCTCCAAGTCGATAGGAGTGGAAAGAATGGCGCTTGGTGATAATGGGGGTTCTATATTTACAAGCAGTTCGGCGCAGATGGTCTAGTTTCATGGGTGGATTTTTATGAGATGATACTGGATTACATAAGATCCCGATAAATCTCAATAATTTAGGATTCTGTCGCTGTTAGTATGGTGATTGTCTTCAACGCGGGTTATGGTATACAACTTTATATAACTTTAAAATGAAAAAAAAAAAAAAACTCTGGTAGCAAGTTTCCAAATAGCGGGAGTGCAGTGTCTGTCAAACAAATGACAGAGAATTTAACACGCTTATTACTTGAGAATAAAATATATAATTTTATTAATTAAAACTAATCATTCAGTAATTAGTTTGAATGGACGGGCTCGTACAACATTGAAAAAAAAAGTTGTAATATGGTCCGAGTTTATTCAAGTCATTTGGCTGATAAAATGGTCGGAAATGGCGGTTAGCGTTGATGTAGTATGGGAGGTCCGGTGTCTTTGTCCGAGGTATGAATTGAAATAATATTATGGTAGATGAATGCGTGGATGTATAATAGAAATTGTCGGCATGTTGACGATGGTTACCGCTCAATACAGATTGTCCTTTATATTGTAAACTTAATTTACAAAATGATTAAGAATCGGTGATGAAATGTACAAGGGATATAATTAGGTTCCAAATCTATTTATATCGACAAACTTTCTTAAAGTACAGTAAGTGAAATAATAATAACCTTTATAAATTGAATAGTTATAAAGGATGCTGGGGTTATTATTGCTGTCCCAGAGGGTGCAATTGACTGGTTTCGTAATTATTCTCGCGGTGGTAACAGAAAGCCAATTTGATATCAGGTTTGTGTAAATGCTGGAATAAACGGTTTTCATCGGCTAATTCAGTCTTCTCATCCATTCAGTGGCACGTAGCAGTAACAGATTTTTTTAATAAGAGGTCAAATTTTGTATCCGAAGATTTGGTAAAAATAGAACTGGCGTCTCTGTCGGTGTAAAACTGACTGTCATACACGTTCGTTCGCGTTGTCAGCGGTTTGATTTATTGCTCGTTCAGCTCCCCCATGTCAACGTGTGCCATATATTTGAATTCACAGAGCGTGGACTCATCGGACGACTCAAGAATTCCAACCCCGTCTTTGCTTGATGGTTTTTTAAGCGATTGGTCACAAACGTAAAGCATGCCGTTTCTCCCGATAAAAGGCGCCGCTGTAATCATCTCATAACCCCAAATTCTCTCTGTAATATCTATTTATTTGTTTTAATGCAAAAAATTCATCGGAGGTGTGACGTATACCCCGCACGTTCCCTCTCCCCGTCGGTTTGAACACCGTGTCAACAGAAATTGCATTCACATGAACGCTTTGCTCGATGTTTCACTCCCATGTCAACGCGGCGTCTATTGCCGCAATTGCATATTTACCAGCAAAACCGATTACAGCCTAGAAGTTAACTGCCTTAAGGCCAACGCTGAAATTCTTTGAGTGGTCCGCCAACGGCGAATTTCAAACAGTTTCGTTTAAATGGCTTTTTTCTGTTGTTTGTGTTCGGACGATTGTAATCGCATCTTTGGTGCGAAATGATCTTTAGTGCGAGTGGCTGGCATTGCCGACTCCCCTCTGTGTGGGGTTACCTTTGTTTACGGCAGCCCTTCTACGCGTCATACAACACACACTCGTCGCATTAGTCATTCATCGATTAACCGCGAGTTACACTTCGTTCCCGTCGCCCGCATATTATTGGTAAACTTAATTCGACCACGATTCGTATAAAAGGACATCCGTAGAAGACATCGACGGCAGAAAGGCGAAGTTTCTGCTAGGGTTAATTTCGATTACAAACAGAGTATTCCTCTGGGAGACCTTCCTACAATAGCGAGTTCATTCAATGCTAATCGGTTTCCAGTCGAGTTGACAGTCTTAGTCGAGGAGGAAGACATTCTCTTACGCTGCACTCTAGAAGCGTATTCGCGGTGCTCAGAATTACAGAAACATTTATTTTCTTCAATCCGTTATTTTTTAATTTTTTTTTTTTTAACAAATCAACATGGAATTTCTTCAGTTATACGCAGTAGTGATAATCGCTTTAGCTACTTCCAGTGCTGTTTGGGTGCCGTCAACCGAGGCTGATCACATGAAACTTGTCCGATGGAGTGACGCTGCAATGGACTTTATACAGAAACAAGACTGTACAAACATGCTTATTTCGAGTGAAAGTGAGTGCGAGAAGTTGAAGAAGATACCTGCATCCCAGATGAATTTTTATAGCACATCGTTTGGTAACACCGAGCAGTACAGAAGTGTGCTTCCCGATGAAGGATTGAGTCGTGGTGGTGAACATGACGTTGTTCTTGCATTGGATCCGTATCCTCGAGCAAATTTTGGTCACCTAGTAGTTGTATTTTACGTGGACTTGGAGCGAGCACCGACAAGATGTTCGGGTCTCGATTCATTTTATCTCGGTAAGTTACCATTCAATTAGAATTGTAAAATCAAAAATAGCTGAATTGTACGCTATTGTCCATGGCCAATATACCCGTGGTAATGTACACCTTCGGAACGTGTTTCGAACATGTGTTGGGTTATACAACTAGAAACTCAAAACAAATTATACAAATTACTATATCCATTTCTGTTTTGTTTTGGCGTCCCTGTGTTAACTGGGACGACCGTACACATAAAACACGTGTTTTATACCATGTTTCTACGTGTTGCTATCTGACAATTCGCTAAGGGCCATGGTATCATGTTCTCAACATTTCCGTTTAGATACAAGACCTGTGTAAGTGTAATATTGTTTAGCCTTTCCAAATTGTTCATTTAATTAAACGACACACTCTTTTTTCCCGCCATGACTTTGGTATTCCTGTAATGTACTACCTCTTACTCTTTTTAGCTGATATTTTGATGTGTTAAGCGGACATTCCAGACATTCAACACTGACGCGATGCCTCCCATTAACACGTGTGTCAATGTTTTCCCATCATCAAATGATAATAAATTTGACAACAAAAAGTGCTGTTAACGCTCTGCCATCGATACCCGTCTTTCAGACGTTTCTTTATTGTTTTTGTCGCTATTAATGAGACTCAGCACAGGCGACGGACTCTTTGCCGACCGTGACCATCTCTTTTATGAAGTGACAACGAGCTGAAATGCTTCTTGTGTGGCGGTGCCGCTTTACGACAAAAAGAGGGGGGTCAGTGCGTAAATATTTATAAATGGTCGGTATGTAACTGCGTGCAATGTACACGCATCCACTGATAGAATGCGTAAATCAATTAGTATCGCGAATGTTTTAGGGGGACAGAGAAAGGGTAAATAACGCGCACACCGTTCAGCCATAGTTTTGTTTCGTGATAAATTGATCCGAAGCGGGAAGACGCCACATCCCCTTCTGGCGTCAGAGCGGAAATGCTACCAGTGACGGTCACCATGTTTTCTACACGCAAGGCTGTTGCCTATTTTATCGAATTCTCCACAACATAAAGGGTGTATAATGCGATCACTTCCTCTTTATAGTCCTGAGCCCGGTTGCTTACAAGGCACATTTTCCACCCTGTTTCATTTCTATTTAAATCCCTTCCCAAGTACGTCACGATTGTGCAATATACATGGGAGCACAGTACGTGACAGGGAACGGGGCAAGCCATGCGCACGTCCGATTCGTACAAAGGTTATACCACAGAAAGAGTCTTTATCTGTCGTTCCAAACTATTAGGCTTCCATTTATGCGCTTTATCAGCAGTATGTAAAAAGGACAGAGTGTTTAATCGTCCTGGGTGTACCACGTGACGTTCAGTGCGCTGGGTGCCAGGACTACAACGTCAGTTTTTGTCGTCATTCGTATAGTTTCCATAGCAATACGAACACTGTATTTCCTATGAAATTGTAGCCAATTTATTAGATAATTCACACTAGTACTTGCATTATTTTGAAATAATCTCGGAATTGTGTGTGTACTAGTTCGGCTTGTCGGACAAGGTGGAAACTCGTCAGCGCAGAATGACGTCACGGCTTGGAGTAACTTATATGTAAATATAATAATCTACATACCCCAAATACAAGTTACATGTTTCTTTTGATGTAGTGACAGGGAGCACATTGTATATACGAGGATCATCATGTCAATGTGCCAGACTATAATTAACCAGTCGGCGATCATCTTATTCATATTTTTGGTGCAATCATTCGCGGCTTTGACTGCGTTTAACTTTTCACACAGCGCGCCGCAAACAAAAGTTAAAACTATATATTATCTCAAAGTCTCGTAGCCAAAATAATACACCTTCTCCAATTACATTAGGCGTAGTCACGACGCAGGTAATATTAGTTTATGCGGCTGATCAACCTTCTTTATTTGCGGCACCATTGTAGTAACAAAAATTCCCACGCATCTTCCGACGACCATTCCAATGACGTCACTTAAAAAGATAACACGATTCAAAAAATAAATTGGATCAATCACGAATCCATTTGGCAATGTCAATAAAAAAATACACTCTAGCACTTGTTCATGCCCAGTTGCAAATGAAGTCGGTATTCCCCCGTAACCAATGTTTTCTCAAAGACTGCAAGTACCAGTGTAATAGAATAAAACTTCATTGTTTATGTACATAATGCGATTAGCCTCTCGAATATTCCTGATTTGATTAAGAAAATTGCCACCTAGATCTGACGCAAATAGCCAATAAGTGACGTCATGATGATATTGTTCTCTCGTCTTTTGATATGATGAATTGAGTACGTGTATGTACTAAGTTCTACGTCACGATCTACAGGTTAAATATCATGTGCTCTGTCATTTCGCAGGAGATGGGGAATGTCTTCAACTGGCTCTGAAAAACCGTTGTCACAACGCCCTCCATCGCAGTATCGAGAGAGTAAACTTTCGAAAGAGATGTGAAATTAACTACCTGCCGTTAGTTAATCTAAAAAATGACGACACCAAGGTAAATATTTCCTAAATGGACCAGTGTCTGAATGTATCATCTCTAACGTACTCAACTGAGTGTGAATATTTGTTTACAATTATTATAGATTTAGATGATGTAAATTTCTATTTGCCAATCTCAGGCATCGCTTTGACTATAGTCTATGTTATTTACAGTTACTAAGATACCATTTATTGTTATTACAGGTTCAAAAGTTAGAATGCAGCAATGACGTCACTGGGTTTGCACCATGCCCCACAATCCACCGAACTGACCTAGAAACGAACGACCTGATGGACTGCGAGCTCACAAGTAATTCAAGACGTTGCATTGGTGGAAACCTACAACAGGTATAATTTATCATTGTGTTCGCATAAAACAAATAAATATGGCGCTGGAATTGACACCAATGCTTAGAGGAGAGGAAATAAATCGTGTTAAAGCTCGATCGTCGCGCCGTGTCGTTTGCACCAAGCCCGATACTAGTCCCATGTGATGTCGGACGCATGTAATATGTTCTAAACAGAATTTGGACCCGCGCTGCGTGATGATTTCGGCGCTTTGGAGTAAATAAGTAAATTAGTACAGAGATTGAAGCCTTTTTGTCTATTTGAATTATGTAGGTTCGTAGTCACTGCAAAATATGGGAGATATGTGACCAGGCCATACTTATTAGTGGCGGTTGGAGCAGTCAGACAATGCGACCATGGAGCGAAGGCAACACACGTCTTATGTACAATATGTTGAGAAATGAAGGGTTCAAGAAACAACGGATAACAACTTTCTATGCTGATGGTATTATGGATGGTAAGTTGTGTTATACTTCGGGGATTGAAATTTAATAAAGACATTTCATTTATTTGTTGAAAAAAAATCCCTATTAGTAATCGCAAACGTATATTTTAATGTCGGCTTGTTTTAAAGTCAACGTGGTAGAAACAAAATACAATCTATTGTGGTCGACGTGCGAGACAATTTCTACGTTAGTGGCGAAACTGTTCAATTAGATTCAGTGAGTTCGACGAGGCTATTGTTTTGTAAACAGGGCCATGCATTCTGCAGCAGCGGTTGTCTCCGCATGATCAAAGAGACCGCTATTTGAACTGTTGGTTAACTGTGAAATGTTAGACAAATAAACACCGCTTCGTATGGCAATATTAATTAAATTAATACGACTTAGGTTTCTATAGATGGCAGTACGTTTCATTGTTTTGGAAGCTTCGGGACAGTTTGACAAGTGCTTTCAAGTACCTGGGTACTAGTAGACAATAACAGAATTGTGGCGTTTTTGAAAGCGCAATACCATCCAGCGAGACAGCGAGATAGCAAAATGATTTCGATATCCCGCGTTCCAGTTACTCCGCGCGAATGTGCTGGTATCGCCCCTTTTCTCGACCACCTGTACGTTTGCCGGCATACGCCCATCCACGACCGTGTCACGGGGGCGACACCCCTAACAAACTACTACAGGCAAGTAACGTTCAAAAATACATTATATTTTGAGCAGATCACCAGCCTGAAGACACAGACGAGCTGACATCGAATAATTTCTACCCGGCGTCACAGAAGATACCCATACGCAATTTGATAACAGGATTTTGCAAATCCCCACGATGCGTCGACACATTGGTTATTTACCTAAACAACCCAATGACAAGTGACGGTAACATGTTGTTATGGGATACCAACGGCAACGGAGTGGTGAGTCCATACATACATATATAACAACTTGAAGTTTTTTTTTTTCCTGGGATTGACTTCTCTCATAATCGTACTCTTTTATTTCCTACTAAAAATCGCGCGCACCTGTCTTGTCACATCATTACCCGGCTGTAATGGCCCATTTCACATCGTATACATTATGCAGTGTCGAAATCGACAATAAAGTGGCTGTAAAACAAATACGGAACAACTCTATTGTTTACAGCCCAGCACGCGTTTACTACACCACACCATATTGAATGCAAAAAACACATCTAGCTTATGAATAATCATGAACATTAGTATTTGTCTGACCATTTTGCAAATTCCATGTTCATTTGATTATGTACATACGAAAATATCATATAATTATTCTAGTAGAATCACCGTTACATATTGTATTCATAATCACATACAATGAAAAGTTCATTCGAATAGACTCTACCCACTAAATATCGTTCATATCATAATCATTCGTAATTTTATATTCACATATTCATGTCGACTAACGATTTATAATGGACCAGAATATTGCAGAATAAATTTCAGTTTGGACACGGGGTATTTAATGTTTATTCACGACTTACTACTATGATAACCGAAAATGACGGTTTGGTTGTCGACATACTCGGACGAATATCACGTAACACTGAAACAACTGATACTTGTTACCGCTATATACGGGACATTTCTAAATTTGCTGCTAATCCGCCGCTGGTTCGTCTGGCAATTAACACAAGCAATTAAAACCAGTTCACAATTAGGCCGCCATTTTGAATTTTAATGAGAATTCCCCTGAAGCAATGCAAGGTCAAAGTTCGCTCGGTACCTGACTGTATGCTGTTCCTGAATATAAGGTTGCTGTAACGGTGTTTTAATGAAACGTCGCTGCTCTCAGCCAATATTTGGCACTATAAGCGCCCACTTCCAGACAGTCATGATCATACCTTACTTCCCAATATTTTAAACACGTGTCTTTTTTTCCCTATTATTTTTTACAGGCAGATGAATCGGAGACGTATTCCGTGCGTGAATTGATGTCAGATTTGGAGGATTGTGCAACCAGTCACGTTTACTTAATAGCTGATATGAGCTTTGCTGGCGCCATCATCGACGAGTTGTCAGATTCCCAACAACACGGCAACGTAGCGGTATACGTTAGTAGCGAAAACAATCAATATTCGTGGAGTGGAGAATACACCAACTACTTGACAGGGTTAGACCACACCAGGCAATGCATGGGTAAAATTGTTAAGGTTAGTATTTATAGAGGAGTTGTCAGATTCAAAAGTTGTGTATTTTGTTCGAAAATCAATTACTATACCCGCAATAAGGTGATATAATCAAACATCGACGAGTTCAGTCTGTGAATTAAAAGACTGCGCCCACGCCGGTCCATCTCACATATTCATAGGTTCAATAATAATGCACGTTTTTTTGTTTTCAATTGCAGGACAACTCTCGCCCATCTATGATGTCATCACCGGCATTCTGGGAAGGTGCTCCGAATTCTGCCAACACTACCATATATGGCGCACCTTGTCACTTTGCGAGGTTTTTCACAACGCGGGAACTGCGGCGAGAGTACATGGGCTGCCAAAATCTGCCGACGGCCATGTGGTTCATCAAATTTGCCCAAGTAGATAGTCGATGAGCCGAGTGACCTTTGTAGAGCCTATATATACAAATATATATATCTGCCAATTTATAAATATATAAATAGTACTTCTACTATAGAATGCAAGTTGAATTATACGTGGCATATAATCCCGAAATAAAGGTGGACGTTTCACGCGTAGATTCCGGAGAATAGCTTTGCTGGGTTCGCCCTTTCGTGGAAATTTCGAAGCAGGACATTTTCATGTTGAGCGCAAGACGTGTTAGACTATATGTCATGACGCCAGGTCACAGGGAGCGTGTCGGGATTGTCGTGCTACTGGCTGACTCATTTTCGTTGTGACTAGTTAATATATTTCTTAGTAATATATAAATATGTAATTGTAGCTTGGCTCACTAAAATCACGTGACTAATGTAAATTGTAAATGTTTTATGCCAAAGCAGTCATTTTGAGAGATTCTCATGATTCCGTCAATTTTTTGTTTCCATTTTGCCATTGGAATACATTGACAAAGGATGGGTTCATGTGTGATACATAGTGCGGTATTTCATTGAAAGGTAGAAACACTTGCCACGCACTACTGGTGTAGTCATCACAATAGTATACTTTCACGAGGACCATTTAATCTATGATGATGTGGGAAGTCTTGATGGACAGACACGCCCTCTATCGGCAATGTACTATAATTGAAAAATTCAAGTCATGTCTGTCGTTTTCTTGTATAAAGTTTATTGTAATATTATTATTATTATTTTTTCAAATTTGCCTTTAGTATTTGAAAACTCTGAACACTACACATGCAATATGAGATGCTTTGAAATCATTTTACTATTGTACACAATTCACGCATGTAAGATAACAAATAAAGTAATTCAAGTTTTCTGTCGAAAAAACAGATTTATTTGTAATCACTAGGGAATTACAGAACTTAAATTAAGACTGGTTTTCAAATTATCGTATGGTAATATGGCAGGAATGTAAGCCATCATAGAAGTAAAAAACAACAGTGATTTTAATGTGACTGACTGTATAAATAAAACGCACCTGAGAACAGGGATACATTCAGTCTTTGGTTATGCAAAACTATGACGTTCAACGGTGATGTAACCGATGGGGAAAATAAAAGTCACGTCAGACTTCGTTTCGCAAAAGAATTGTCTTATTTCAATACCGAAATTCGTTGTTACTGATAATGAATCTTTTTTTTTTTTACAAGATGCCACGTTTATTATTAAAAACTTCTTATACCATATTTTTCTTTTTTAAATGACCCCCCCCCCCTTCAGTAATACAACATTGCATTCATTTGCACGGTGTGGGGTCTTAGTGCAGTTCATGAGAAACATTTATGGTGAAAAATTGACAATGATGACATTATGAATTTCACTGAATGGTGTAATATAAGATGTTTTTGTTTGCTCGTTCATAGACATATTTGATTTAAAACATGACACTACGCATGCGTGTCGGTTGTCAATGTGTACACCGAATATTGATCATCCACGCATTCTGTGCTGTGAAGACGACGTTTTTTTTCAGTTCATGACTGACAAATCATAATACCCTCTCATATTGTATCAACATGGAATTGAAAAAAAAAATGTGGGTTTCATTAAATTGCTCATTTAATCGGAAATGTGTTGTTATATTGCGTTTTATTTGGGTGTTGTTTTTGTGTGTGCGCGCGCGCTTCTGAAATGTCACACAGTTGTCCGTAGCTAGTTGATATATATAAAAATATTAAAAGTGACAGAAATGTTGGAGGATATTATGGAATATAAATACATACGAACCATTGAAAGTGTGATGAAACAGCTACTTGTGAACGGATAACATTCTAAATGTTGTCATAACAAACTCGGTCGGGAGGATCTTGCAATTCAGCCTATTTGCTGTTTGTTTTATTGGGTATAATAATACAAATATTGAACCCAGCCTCGCTCAATACTAGTAAACAGATTTGTCGACACTCAGTAAGCATTGTTGAACTCGACTTTTCCTCTCTCTGGATCGACAGTATAGGATGACGTCACATTGAAGACTACTTCTCTTACCTCACTAACATAGAGTCTGCTAAATGTGCACACGAGCCTTAGCAATGAAAGCCTCGACTTCATATTATATTCAATACGACGGTTGTTTTTAGAAATGCGCCGCAATTTGTAGCTTTATTGCTACATATTTGTTCAAATTTTGTTTATACATATAATTTGAGGGTTGCGTAAGATTACATGTATTTGCACGACGTTGCAAATACAGTAATGTGGCCGAAAACGAACATCAAATGTTTTGAACAAAGACAAAATGTTAAATAAAAATATTCTTTAATTTAATAAATTAAAGTACATATAGAAATGTGATTATTTTGGGGATAGTAAACACATATTTAACACACCCATGGCAACAATATCTCCGATTTATCTGCATGTCCAATAGACAAGCCGATCAAGTGGATGTAATAAGGAAAACAGTGACCTGGTTTTAAGTTAGTGATACTGTATGTGACACGTGTGGTAAATCATTATATCCTCATCATATTACACTATAACAAGATGTAACTAACAACACTACAAAATAATGCCTTAGCAACGGCATTTATAGCATTTGTTACCTGTGTATATTGAGATAATAGACACGGGTGACTCATGGGCCATTGCAAAATTTGTTGATGTATTTGAAAGATTGAATCCCAGTGAGAGCACATGGAAATAGTCTGATTTCTTGATATAATCTAGTTGTGTGTGGATTTATATTTAATGAAGCAATTGACCTGGGAATATAGGGACTTGAATACCATCACTCGGCAAGGCAGTAGAAAGCAAAAATTAGTTGGTCCGGCCATCCATCGAGAGCCGTAGGCCCGAGGCGTACGATGACGTGGGCCGAAGGACCATGTCTGTCAGGGGGGACGTGCAGAAGTGGTCCGGCCATAGCCGGTACGGTTCCTTGCAAGCGCACATTCATCCTGTCGTTTTAAATCTTCGTTTCATGAATATCAAACGTAGAAGTGATTTTGATTATCTATGATGGTTAGAATGCTGGGACTATATGCGTTTCATTTATATCGCAAAATTAACAAAACCGAATATTAAGTTGTTTGTATAGGAATCTTTAAAAACAATGGCGATAACAATATAAATATTTGTCCATCAGCAAACATCTCTCCTGTAAGCTATATCCTCAGAATCAATTGAATTTGAACAAACACAAATTTAGTTCAAACTTAATATTTCTAGTATGAAACATATTTTTATTTACACCGGAAATATATTGATCATTCAAAGTGAAGTTCATGTTTACTATTATTGTCATTATCTCGTTATACATAAATAAATAACTTGATAACACCAGAAGCAATGTCTAAACTCATATGACGTGTACTCGTTCTCATCGACTTCCCACTGTTCACCAACTTCGGATATTCCAACCATCATCTTAAAAACTACGAACACAGAATAATTCCAAATCGACTTTCAAGTCAAAAGTGCCCCTCTTATGAGCATTTTACTTCAATCATATAAAGTTACATTGAAATCGACAATGCATTAATATAATGACAATTAACATAATGATGTTCTATAATCATGAAATACATAATAAGTTATGACATGCGGATAGTCGAATCTCTTGTAGTTTGTTTTGTTTTAGTTCCTTTTGAAGAATTGAACTGGGCAAACATAATCGAGGTACTGGTAACAACGAATGTGGTCGAACAAGAAGTACCAAGAAAATGTATTTTCTAAGAGGATAAAATAATTAGATATTTAAAAAGCAAATTGCATTTATCATAATTACTGCTTACATACAGTGAAAAAAATGACTGAATAGTTGTACTATATCACCTTATTACATTTGCGATAATATACTTTTAACTTGATACCATGTTTTAGTTATAAAGGTGAAAAACATATACAAATTGGAGATGTGTTGACAAACCGAGAGTCCATTACCAACATGGCCAAACTTCAGCGTAATCTATGTATATAGGTTACAGGCCCGTAGCCAGCACTTTTGAATAGGGGGTTCGAAAACAACAATTATATATATGATGTGAAATGTGTGAATTTTATAATATTCAAAAAGTGTTTTTGAGCTCTGTTACAGACATTTTTATATTATCGGTTTTAAATTAAATTTTATTGGTAAGATATTTCACATAACATCTTTGAACTATTTTACCATTTTAGAGAAGGGGTCCTGAGCCATTCCTCACCTACAGACAAACACATCCACACCATTGATCCACTATGGCAAAATGTTGTACACAAAAAAGACAAGACTGTACGTATCTTAGCATTATTGTTTAAGTATTTTAAGGTAGAAGGCTACTTACGAGTTTTTGCTCTTCGCAGATGTTAGCGCACATAAAAGTGACACGATTTCATGTCGAAATCTGTCTACAATTATTCATTTTAGTATTGGTCAATTTTGTATTATGTAATTTTATTTCTGTACAGGGCCTCAGCCTATCGTACAAAATGTAATGGGTAGAAAAGTGCATAGCACGTTTTAAA